ACTAATCCCACCCATATAATGTTCTTTGATTCTGGACCAGGTGTTATTGTAATTATTATTTTCTTCCTTTTGTCCTTTGGGTGACTCCCCTGAGATGGGGTATAAAAGATATTAACTCTCCTTGTTGCAACGGTTTTTCCTTGCCATACATGGAGCTCCCTTCTGTGACTATGGCAGGAGCCCACTTTCCCTTTATTTTTCCTCCTAAATAAATCCTGCGTTGCATACCGGAATTGTTCACATGAAAACTCTTTCATGTGAACAAGAATGAGGTTGCGGCTGTTTTGCATTGAATACCCTGCAACATTAGGTTACCACAGTGAACATAGCTACTCATGCAAGACAAATGTAGGAATGAAAAAATACCTAACACGATCTGACCCCTGCCCGCCAGTGTCAAACAACAAATATCACTCTCTTCTTCTCTGAAAAATCTGTATGGAAAATCTAAGATACTTTTGCCTACCCTGCATGTATTCACATACTTTCAATTCTCAATCTATTCAATTTTTAATCTACTAGATTGTCCCTAGGTTAATAGAACCTTTTAAGTCAAACAATGATCCTTTGCTTGAAAAAGAATTAATATTCTGAAGAATCATTATTTTTTTAAGATTTATTTATTTTTATTGCAAAGTCAGATATATAGAAAAAGGAGGAGAGACAGAGAGGAAGATCTTCCATCCAATGATTCATTCATCAAGTGAGCACAATGGCTGAAGCTGCGCCAATCTGAACCCAGGAGCAGGAGCCTCTTCCATGTCTCCCATATGGGTGCAGGTCCCAAGGCTTTGGGTTGTCCTGGACTGCTTTCCCAGGCCACAAGCAGGGAGCTGGATGGGAAGCAGGGCAGCCTGGACTAGAACCAGCACTCATATGGGATCCTGGCATGTGCAAGGGGAGGACTTTAACAGTTAGGCCACTGTGCTGGGACCAAGAATTACTATTTTACCTTCTTGCTTTATTCAAAAGATTTCTTCGGGCAAAGCATGGTAATGTAGCCACTTAAGTCCTCACCTTGAATGTGGCAGGATTCCATATGGGTGCTAGTTCTAGTCCAGGCTGCCCCGCTTTCCATCCAGCTCCCTGCTTGTGGCCTGGAAAAGCAGTCCAGGATGGCCCAAGGTTTTGAGACCCTGCATCCATATGGGAGACCCAGAAAAGTTCCTGGCTCCTAAGTTCAGACCAGCTCAGTTCCGACCATTGCAGCCACTTGAGGAGTTAATCAATGAATGGAAGATCTTCCTCTCTGTCTCTTCCCCTCTCTGTATATTTGACTTTAGGATTATAATAATAATAAAAAAGATTTTGTCATCTGCCTGGTCCATGAAGGAATCAAGCTACTTCTAGGCACTGTACGTGAATCTCAATGGAATGTATGTTCACTTTTGAAGGTTTTTCATGATGTTACCTCCTGAAGCCCATATTCATACTCAGAATAACAAAATTATATGGACATTCATTGTACTGAAATCATCTAACATGGTTTCCAAATTTACCAAGAAGGAAGAAAAAAGCCCACGGTGATTGGTCTGTAAACAACTTTGGCTAAGGGGTGAAATGAATGTCTGGGAACCCTGATAATATCTGCTGAGGGATCCAGAATTGCTCACTTAAATCTGTGAGACTAGCTTGATCCTGAAGAAGAAAATGAGGTGCATGTTTACAAGTTTTACAGAATCATAATGTAAGATGGAAAGTAGGCTTTCTTTTTTTTTAACAGCAAAATGAAATAAAAAGATGTGTGATATGAGTTAAATGAAATAAAAAGTGCTTTATAAATTTAAAGTGTTTTGAAAATCTGTTACTAACATTGTCAGAAATTATTGCATTCTGCTTATAATAACTGCTGTGTGGCTTGTTACAGAATCTCATATTTATATACATTTATTCCCATTCTCATTATATATAAATAGTACGTATGTCTTGGCTGCCAATGAAGATGATTCCTATAGTACTATGTCCACATCAGTCATAAAATATTGTATTCCTAAAAGGCAAAGTGTGGCTTTAATCTACAGGGGATCCAATCAAGTCCCTACTTTACATATGGAAGAAATGTTAGAAAACATTTCCTCAGTGCTTTTAAAAGGCTTCAAGAGGAGATTAAACCAAGCTTGTATAGCTGCTGTGTGAATTTAACTCCCCTAAGTTCTTAGAAATCCTAAAGCTGGATGTTACAAAGAGCAGAAATGCTTCCTAACTTCAAAGGGTGAGACTGAGTCTTGAAAATCAAGAGGCCTTTAAAGAAACTGAGAGGATATGCACTAACACACACAGGTTTATCAAGCTCTTGGCCAAACTAAGAAAGAGGATCTGAAAGTAGAAATTGTTGGGGGAGGCAGAGTCCTTGAAAGTGATAAATGCAGAACAGCACATATTTGTGCAATTGGGAGACCAGCTTCTCTGATTGGCAGGCCTTTTAAAGAACCTGGTCTATCTGCTTCTAAGAGGCTGAGTCACAAACACTGCTAAGTAACTAAAATAGCTTTATGCTGAATGGCAAAATTTTGCATGGCAAAAGAAGAAGTAAAGGGTGTGACAAATGTGGTAGTTAGTAGTTAACTGCTACTGTTATCACCTTGAGAGCCAAGAAAAGCCAGCTGATGTGTCAGACATGTTAAAAAAGGAAAGTGTGCCACAGAGCTGGCAGCTTTCTCTGCTGCAAATTCAAAAACAAACTTCTGAAGCCAACTTCTGTAATGATATCTGTCAGCTAATATAGGGAAAAGCAAGGGGCCCAGGAACTCAGTTTTCTGTAAGGTTCCAGAAATGCCCCATTCTCAAACGGAAATAGCTGGAGAAATAAAAATATCAAGACTGTAGAAACATCAAACAGCTCATTGGAAAAGCCCCCGCACAGGAAAACGTGTGGGCCTGAATTCTTCCATTCTGGAAGGGGAAAGGCCTGAGCTGACGATGCTGGGATGAGACACTGAAAGTGTTCAGAAAAGCTAGAGGATTATACTACAGTTGACACACACATCACTAAATAGCCTCCCCTTTACAGTATGCTAATGTTGTGGTTTTGATTTGAAAGGTATAGAGAGATACTCTGCATTTTTTAGTAACAACAACAAAAAAAGATCATGAGATTTGTCCCTAATTTTCCATTTCCTTCCATTTTTTTCCCTTGTACCTGAGGAACTATAGCTTATGTTTAAATTTCATGAAGTTGCTTTACATTCTTCAGAATATTGCTGAACACATAGCAAATTACTGAATCATTTTTCTGTGTTCTTTGAAAGAGACTACATGTTAGAATGATTAGTCTGTCTTGCCTACCCATCCTTCTTCTTTTGAGGGAGCAATCCCCTTGAACCTAGGATTACATTTGTCTATGTACATATCTTTTCCCAGGCTCTTTGAGAAAGAATGTAAAGAGTAAGAGTAGATATTGAAGTCAGAGCATTCTGGTTTCAAAGTCTCGTTCTGTCTCTTACTGATCTATATTAAATTATCTGAAATCGAGAAGCCTTAGTTATCTAGTATGCACGAAGGGAATCATAGTTTCACAGATTTGTTGAAAAGCTTAACTACAACCTTGTGCATACACATTTTTCTGTTGCTTTTTTTCCCATATGAGGAAAACACTGGTGCTTGACTAGATGAAAACTGAAAAATACAGCAGAAATGGAGGCATTTTGACAAAGGATCTCCACTATTCTCCCAAGATTCAAACAAAGACTTGTATCTCTATCATTCAGTGAGTTGGCAGGTAATATTGAAGAGAAATTAACATATACCCTTAATATCCTACAAAGTTTTCAACTAAAAAAAAGTATGCCACAGTTTGTAAATACTATTATTATAACCAAGGCAACAGCTGCTTTAGAGGATTATTCAAAATATATTCAGGAGCCAAAACGAATAAACAAACAAAGCAAAAACAAACTACAAATATGGGGCCAATGCAATGGCTCAATTGGCTAATCCTCCACCTCTAAGTACAGTATCCTCTATGGGAGCCAGCTGTTCTACGTCCCATCCAGCTCCCTTCCTGTGGCCTGGCAAAGCAGTGGAGATTGGCCCAAGTCCTTAGGACCCTGCACCTGGAAGAAACTCTTGGCTCCTGGCCAGCTCAGCTCACTATTGCATTTGGGGAGTAAACCAGCAGATGGAAGATCTCACTCTGTGTTTCCTTCTCTATAAATCGGTCTTTCCAATGAAAATAAATTTTTAAAAGTTTTTAAAAAGAGAAAACTAGAAACGTGGATTTCTTTTTTGCAAATGACAAAAAGTCTATCGTAAGCCAGCATAGCAGCCTCAGATGCATGTTTCTGCACATGTTAAACAACATAACTTTAACAAAAAAGTACAAAAGGTGCCAAGAAGTCTAAACAGATAAACAAATGTGTTCACATTTAAACAAAGTAGTACCTCAAGTTCAACAGTGGTTTATGCAATCTAACCCTAGTATTCGACTGCTAGCATAAGAAGTCATCTATAGTATTACATGCAATTAGCTCTTGTGTAGATAAAAAGGTTAAAGCCATCCTGAAACAGGAAACCAATATTCTTCCTGTTTCATCAACAAATCTAAAAAATTATTCTTTTTATCTATTTACTCTTACTCTTATCCACAACACACAGCTCACATGTCATCACAGTTTTATGACAAAGAGAAAATTTTCATGAGTTACTTTTGTATCTCCACCCCCTTAAAGGAGGAAAAACTGTTTCATACAGAAGGCGTTAGTTGCATGAATTAGAACTGCCACCAAGTGTGGGCTAATGTAACCAAGAGGGATTTCACCTACATCCATCCAGTCAGTATATGGGGGTTTAAAGAAATTCCAAAGAGTCATCAGAGGAGGAAAAATAAAGGTAATACTTTTTGCCACACAGGTAGAGCCTTTGAAAATATGTGTAATATGTAAAACATTTTGACACCCCCATAATATTTTTCCAGAATTAGCAGTATAAAATGCTTCTCTTGCTTAAGAGCTTCCTATCAGGCTCTGTAATCACTACTCACAGTAACCTCAACTCTTGCCACAATGTACAAGGTGCAACTTTTGTCATGCATTGCACTAACTCTTGTACTCCTCACAAACAGTGCACCTACTTCAAGTTCTACAAAGGAAACACAGGAACAACTCGGTCAACTACTGCTGGATTTACAGGTGCTTTTGAAAGGAGTTAATGTAAGTATATTCTCTTTCTAAGATTTCTACATTTTTCTATCTGGATTTTAGCTTTTAATAACAGTATGTTATGCTTTCTTAGGATTACAAGAATTCCAAGCTTTCAAGGATGCTAACATTTAAATTTTATATGCCTAAAAAGGTAAGCCCAAGTTTTGATGTTTCATTTATGTTTTAGTAAAACCAACTTGTAGCACCTTACTTGAGAAAAAGAACAAGTAACTTCAGCATATATATATATTTTAAAATCTGAAAATGGAGTTTCTGTTTAAATGGCTTTACTTATATTTACATATGTGTGTGTGTTTTGAGGGAGGGTGTAGAAACAAAATATAAGGATAACATGCTCACTTTGTTATGCAGACAGTTTTAAAAGATTGTGTTTACTTTTTATTTAACAATGTAAAACTCTGGATATATTTGATTATACCATTTTAGAACACAAAATATTGACACTGATTTGAGAGGAGTCCTCTTTAAAATATTCTTGTTTAAGAAAAGATTTCCAATAATCTGTCTTTGAGAGGCAGTATAGCACAGTAATTAATAGCACAGACACTTCGGGAGCAGAACACCTGAAGTGCAATCACAGATCTCACATGTCCTAGCTTTTGTGACTCTAGGTTTTATCTACTGTCTTTGTCACTCAGTTTCTTACACACTTACATGAAAAATAGCTGTGTGTATTTTACATAGTTTTACATTAACGAATCGATGCAAAAATTTACATAAAACATTTAGAACAGTATTTAACATGTGGTAAATATACAAACATGAACTAGTAGTTTTAAATCTAGGAAGATAAAGACAGTTTTAAAGCTAGTAAGATAAAATTCTCACTGGGAGGTATAAAGTAAGATTTTGAATATCCATGCCTTTTTACCAGCAGAACTAAAGACTTACATTGCTATATGACTTATTTTATAAGATTAAAAATTTCATTTGTTCAGAGGATTCAGATGGTTAGAATGATAAGCAGAAATTATTCAATTTGCTTGAACTACAATATCAAGTTTCCCCCAAATTGGGCCAGTCAACAGAGTATGGGCAAAACTATGGACTCAAAAAAAGCTTGACCTAGGTTTAAATCCAGTCATGCCCAGAAGAAACTTTGATTTAAAGAGACAATCTGTTGAGCAACTTGTACTGACTTAGGAAACTGCTTCAAGTTACTCTTTTGAAAGATAAGAAATAGCTTATTGATGCTCCTCTAGTTTAATTACAGTCATACAACTGCTAACTTCAGTGTGTTTTCTGAAGGAAATAGTTCCAAACTGTTCCTGCCAAGAACTTAGGCCCTGACTCTACAGAAATTGTAGCAGTTGGTTGAAAGGCAGGAGATGGACATATTAAAAGAGGTGTATGTGTTGGTCTGTCCTACTTTTCCCTCTAAGATTGTTGGAAAGATACAATGAAATGATATGCCTAATTTGGATAGCAGTATAATTCTTTGAAATCTAAGTTTCTAAATGACAAGTCAAACTATATTTGAAACCAAAAGTAATGTAATACATTTAATTCATTTCTTTAACCACCATTCCCTGCCTAAAAAGAAATAAAAACATTTAGTGCAACAGATGCTGTGTTAACACTATACTGAAAACTAATTGAATCCTACTCTTCACTACCTATGTGACCTCAGGAAAGTCACACATTGTAAGATTTAGTTTATTTTATTTGTAAAATGGGGATAACAGCACTTCCCTGTCTACCTCAAAAGGTGGCTGTGAAGCTTAATGGGCTTATTTAGGAACAAACATTTGTGAATTACGTAAGAATGAAATATGGTGGATAGACAGGTATATACGGAGGCCTACCCAAAAATCTTTCAGATACTCTGACCTTTTATTTGGTTGGGACAAATAATTTTTAAAATTTATCTTAGTTGTTGTAGTTATTGTAAAAAAGTGAAAACTCAGCTGTAGATAGATGTGCCTTGTTCTAGGCTATATTAAGTGTCATAACTGCATGTTATTACCATCTCTGCTGTACAATGTGGGAACTGTGATAAATGGCACCCAAAGACTTCTGCCCCTTAACATTCCATGATTCTCAGCTCTTACATGATCAAATACTAGGATCATACTATGTGATTTCTACATTTTCATATTCTGACTGCTGTGGCTGAATGATTTTCATGCAGGTTGGAAAACTACTTAGCCTATGCATTTGGTGTGGGAATGTTGACTTTATAATACCGAGTTGTTGATCTTGTGACACTTTAACTGTTAACTCACGGTTAATATTGGACTTAGGTACTTGAGCCCTAGTTCTTCCAATTTTTAAATGTAAACTGTACTGATCAATCTTATCAATACTGACAAAAAGGAGAATGGGAAAAGCTACAAGCTACAACTTTTAATAATATAAGTTGGAGATTTTCTGGTTTGGGTCTTTTGTATAAGGGAAATGGTGCTGATAATTATTTTTATTATTATTTCAGGTCACAGAACTGGAACATCTTCAGTGTCTAGAAGAAGAACTCAAACCTCTGGAAGAAGTGCTTAGCTTAGATCAAAGTAAAAACTCTCATTTGAGAAATATTAGAGAATCAATCAGCAACATCAATGTGACAGTTCTGAAACTAAAAGTAAGGCATTACTTTATTTGATCTCTTAGAAGTAAAATAAGTAAAAGGGAAAAGTATTGCATTTTATATTATCATACTTTTTGGCATTTGTGAGGTATCTATGTATTTAAAGAGCCAACACTTTTAGTCCTCTGTAAACATGAATACATACAGGCCTGGGAAGTATGAGCTGGAAGATTTCCATTGAACATGTACACAGACAAACCTCAGTTTCCACACTTCAACATCTCTCACATTAATATAGAATTGGGAGTTAGCAGGCACCGAATTGAATTTCAAAAAAAGATTTCATTACATATTTCTCAGTTCTTTCATGTCCTCTACCATAACAGCTAACACTGATTACCTGAGGAACTTTTCCAACGATGTTATCCTAACATTAGTTGAAAGAACTGTTTCTGAAAATTGGCAGCCAGTAAAAAGACCATGTATTAGAATTAAATTCTTGTTTAGAAGCTAGTTTAAGTATTTATAAATGCACAGGAAATATGAATCACTTGTCAAGTGATAAGAAAAGGGTCCACAATTCTCTGTTCTCATTCTATCTGCCGTTAGTCAGTAAGTAACCTGAATAAGCAGTCTAATTTTCATTACAGTAGAATCAAGCTCCTAAAAATATGCAAGTCTAGTGATTTCCAAATAAGGTTACTTTATTAGTGGATTGATTCAGCTTATATTTTAAAATATACTTACAAATTTAAGTTTATATATGCTTATATATATATGTGTTATTTGTCTATATGCAGAATTAGTGAGATCCATGTCATCCAGCCATTGACATATTCAGTTTCTTAATTACTGCTGAGAGGTTTGTTCTAAAATCATTAACCAGTATCAGAAAATCCACTTTCAACTCTTGATACAAATTTAAAGCTAGGTGAACATCAGAGTATTATTTTAAAAACCAGATGCATTTCAAAAAATAAAAAAATGTGAAAGAAACCCAAGATTACAGTATTTAATCATTATGTAAAAGAGATGATATGTATTACTAACATTTCCTTATAGGAAATATTCATCAACTGTCTTCAACAAGTTCATGGAAATAAATAAAATGAAAAAAATTGCAGAGGTTTCATTACTTTTTTCACAAAAAGAAACATATCCATGAATACACATTTTTCTATGAACTTTCTGAAGTACCCTCTTATTTAAAGGGAATACCCCAACTTACTTGGTTTCTATTCCCAGGGCAGGAATTCAAATTAGAAAAATCTTCCTCTTATATCCCAGAATAAATACAGTTCTGTTAAAAAAAAAAAAACAGATATTTCTTTCTTGGCTTATTAGCGGTATAACTGAAATAGTTTCTTTCAGTATAGCAATTTAATTTAGACTTTTTTTTATTAGATCTTTATTGATGTGAGGGTATGCTATGTGAGTATGAATATTTGTGAGGCATGAGATATTCTTGACATAGATTTTTCCCAAACAGAAGCTTGTCCTTACTGTGAGGCAGCTCTATCCTGGTTTGGGGGAAATCTGATAAGATTCACTTATGTAGAGAAATAGGAGTCTCTTAAAATTTAAGAAGGAAGAAAATATAATGTACATATCGCTTCGTATGTTTAACATATACAAATACAAACCTGGAGAAAAGAAATCAAACACCTTTTTTTCACATGTAGCATTTAATAAAATATTTTCCTTTAACTGTTTTTAAGTATTTCCACTCAATTAAGAAAAACAAATCTTGTGTCCACTAACAAGAGATATAACAATTAAGTAGAAGCTCAGCCTTAACATAACTTTTCTCCTATCATAACGAATGATAATTCTGGCATATTATTTTGATTAAGAAAATGTGGATTGTTAATGTTTAATGAGCTTAAAAATAAAGATCACAAGCTATAAGACTTTAAGAGTAATTATATGTAAGGTAAACTACTTTGAATTAAAAACAATATTTTTCTCTCGCAGGGATCTGAAACGACATCCAGATTTGAGTGTGATGATGAGACAGTCACTGTGGTAGAACTCCTGAACAGATGGATCACTTTTTGTCAAAGTATCATCTCAACACTGGCTCATAATTAAGTGCCTGCTGTTCATGACAAATCAGACTATTTATTTAAATATTTAAAATTTATATTTATTTTTGGATGTACTGTTTGCTATCTTTTGTAACTATTAATCTTTAGATTATAAAAATGGATCTTTTAAGATTCTTTTTGTAAGCCCTAGGGGCTCTAAAATGATTTTACTTATTTATCCTAGAGTATTTATTATATTGAATTGTTAAATATAATGTCTATGTAGATCAGTTAATAACATTATTTAATAAAGGTGGAAATAAGTCATCCTTGTTATTTTTATTGTGGAAGCAACATAAAGTGAGCACTGAAATATTTTTGTTGTATTCCTAAGAAATCTATAGTATCTAAGATGCTTGGAGTGCCACTCTTTCTCCTGGAGGAATATTCAAAATAAAGACAAGGGCTTCTCGGAGTCCCAGTTTCGCTTACAAGAGCTGGTCAGATTCTCAGTTCTGAGCTAAGCAGACCTTGCCAGATGATAACATTTCCAATTTTCACAAAATGCCAAACACAAGCATCCTTGAAATTATTCACACACAAAAAAGGAAATTATTCATGGAGCTGGTACATCTCCATGTCCATTCTTTAATGGCTTACACCTTGCTCTCTGCCTTGAAGAAACTCACTTGTGCAGTTTCTATCAAAGGCCTCCCACCCCTTCTGATTTTCCAATGGGTGCTACCACTGGGGAATCGTGACAGGAGTTCTAACTCTCTCTCTGTAAAGCAGCCTTTTAACGACTATCTCTTTCAACCAAAAAGTCAGCTATTGCGGCACTTTAGATATATCTCCCTTCTTGGTTTTGGTCCTCTTTTTTTCCCCCCATTTCTTCCTTTAATCTAACAATTCTGTAGTTACCAGCTCTAAGGTACATGTACCATCTTGCAGTTTCCCTGTATCTTGATCATTGTTTTGTAAGTCAGCCTTTTATTAGATTCTAATTTAATATGCCATCTTTTTCCATCCAGGCTCAGAATTAGTATTTGTACCACAACTAACCTCAAAAAACATGATGGTATGTAAAAAAAAATCTGTGGAAAATGGAATTCAAAATAAGTTAACTTCAGTGAAAAGTAATTTTAAAATCAGTACAGGTATCTGGCCTAGTGGTTATGAACCCACCTTGGATGCTAGTATTCCACAATGGAGTACCTGTATTCAAGTCCTGACTTCTCTTCTGACTCCAGCTTCCTGCTACTGTGTGCACGGGAAGGCAGGAGGTGATGGTCCAAGTACTTAGGTTCCTACCACTCATATAAAAGACCTAGAGTGAGTCAGGCTTAGTACTAGCTACTACAGCCATTAGGGGACAAAACCAACAAATACAAGATTGCTTTCTCTCTTTCAAATACATACATTTAAAAGAATAAAACTCTTTTTGAAATTCATACAGAAGAGGTCTTCAAAAAATGCATAAAAAATCTATATTAAAATAGTATGGATGGACTTCAGAATTTCTTTACTCCAAAATAAATTTACTTCAAAATTTCATTTTCTATGAACTTTTGAAATACAAAAATCATCCAAATAGGATTATGAGGTTGTGGTTTTCATATGTTTAAGAAATATAGTGATTCATACTACATGGGAAATAAATGGGCAGTGGTATCTTTGGAGGCAGCATGAGTAACGTAGAGAGAGAGGGTACAAGAGGGTACAATATTCTGAGATCACATCACTGTGACATTGTTGCTATAGCAATACTGATCATAAAATTTTTACTTTTGATTTTCTGGTGACTCCAGGCAAAGCTAAAGAGAAAAAATAGAAGCTATGAATGTATGCTTAAGCAGGGGTAACTAGAAGGCATGGTAGTTCAGGAATCTCTCATCTACAGATACTACAAAGAACCAAGCTGAAGTCTGATATAATGTTTGCAAAGAAGCAGTCTAAAAGTTAATGCCTCCAGATCTCTGTATTTCTGACTTTATTGCAAAGGCAGATTTTCCACAGAGAGGAGAGACAGAAAAATCTTCTATCTGCTAGTTCACGTCCCAAATGACTACAATGGCTAGAGGGAGCTAATCTGAAGCTAGGAGCCAGGTGCTTCTTCTGGGACTCCTATAAGGTTACAGTGGTTCACGCATCTGGGCCACTCCTCCACTTTTACGGGTCATATATATGGAACTGGGTGGAAAGTGGGGAAATCAGAATACAAACTGGCATTCTAATGGGATGCTGGCACCATAAGCAGATAATTAACCTGATAAGCTGCCAAGCTGATTCCAAGTAAACTTTAACAAGTCAAGTTTGTGAGATTCAAGATGTTTAAACCAAGGGAATCATGATTAGGCTCACGAAGAAAGCCACTATAGAATTCTAGCTCTGAATGTGCCCTCACTGTCCACAACCCCCCACCACAAAAACGAAGTTTCTAAAGGTCTAAAAAGTTTAATGAATATTAAGTGAAAACTTTGGGGAATAAAACCCTGCATTGTGAATAGTCCATTACAAAGGAGCACAGACCTTATTAGGCCTCTGGAATTAGAAAGCATCTTATTCTGATACATTTTCAGAGCAATTCATAACACTGTCAATTGCTGGTGAGGCCCCCCAACAAGCAGGCTCAATAACAGTGCCAGGACTCAGTATCACCTGCTCAGGTACTTGAGTTGTATGACCCAGTAGAACCAGTGGTATTCAACCACAAAAAGCAGAAAAAGCAGGTGGGAGACAGACTGAGTAGCATTAAGGAGTTCAAAGCTAGAGCTGAAGCTCTGCATGGGGGAATGGTATAATGAGCATGTTAGAATTTAAGAGAAAAAGTGGGCCAATCCTGCAGGTATACAAGATAAATCTTTGGAATAAAGACAAATTTGAATACACAAACTCTAAAAGTGTGCAAAACAAAGGTTCAACAGAATAAAAGGAATCTTCCCAATTCTGTCATCTGAAGAAAGCAATCTAGATAACCTCATCCAATGACTATAAAATAACTCATCTACACATTACCTCAGAAAGAAATGAGTTGTTGATATACACACACTAGCATACGCAAATACACACTAAAAATAAAGAGGGACAAAACCCAATGAATATCTCCAAGATAAGATTTAGTTGTGATAATATACTTTAAAGCAGTGAAATATATTTGAGAAAAATAGAGCATGAGTTCTAAACAATAAGTTTTTTCCCCAAAACTTGTAATTTATTTTAAAGACAAATGAACATCCTAGAATTGTGTATCTAAAATTAATAAATCATTAGAAATGCTTAACAGCATACTGGATATGTAAAATACCAGATTAGTGATCTAAAGATGGTACTATAATAATGTACAAATTGAAGAAGATAAAAAAAACAAGGTTCCCCACCCCTCCAAAAAGATCAAGGAAATGTATAACACAGTAAGATCTAACTTAAAGGCAGTTGGAATCATAAATGTAAGAAGAAAGTAAGGATGAAGTACGGATAGCTAGTAATTTTCATAACTAATGAAAAATGTATAAACACATTAAAGAAGCTCAGTAAAAGCTGAGGAAGATAAATATAAAACAACAAAAGGAAGCAAACTCACAAAAAAACCATACCTAAGAACATCACAGTTGATTTTTGAAAAGCAAAGAGAAAAGGCAGCCAACAAAAAAAAGGCACTACCTGTAGAACAATTTTTATAATTTAGTAAATTGTTCTTTAAAAAAATTTACTTATTTTTATTGGAAAGTCAGATTTACAGAGAGAAGAGACAGAGAGAAAGATCTTCGATCTGCTGGTTCACTTCCCAAGTGGTCACAATGGCCACAACGAAGCCAACCTGAAGCCAGGAGATTCTTCCAGGTCTCCCACGTGGGTGCAGGGTCCCAAGGTTTTGGGCCATTTTCTACTGCTTTTTCAGGCTAAAAGCAGAGAGCTGAAAGGGAAGTGGAGCAGCCAGGATACGAATTGGTGCCAATATGGGATACCAGCAAATGTAAGGGGAGGACTTTTGCCACTAGTCTACTGCAATAGGCCCAATTAAGTAAAATTTTCAACAAAATATATAAAATTGAAAGAGAATGGCATCCACTTTTTAAAACCTTTCTGTACTCTAAAATTCTATACCCAGAATTGCTCAGAAATTAAGGTGAAATAGACATTTAAGCCACAGTACTACAAGAATCCACACTTCAGTGTAACTTTACACTAAAAGAGGGTAAGTGTCAAAGAGGGCTGGCAGTAACTAAGAAGACAATGTATCCAGTTGCATTTTAACACATGCAAAAGTAAAATAATTAAAACAACAGACAAAATAAAGGAAAAAGATCAGAACAACAAAATATTAGAGGAGTCTTGCTTTGTTTGGGAAGTGCTAAAGGAGACTCAGCAGCTAATAAAGCCCAGAGCCCTCTGTCTCCAGGCCAGCATTGATAGGTGAAGTCACCAGACCTGCCGTGGCGTCAGGATCACATCTCACCAGTGGGATGAAAACATTCCAGCACATCTCACCATCAGTCTCCATTGAGCCTGCATGCACACTTGATACTTTGTGGTGCCAAGTGACTGAGACTTAAGTGTGACCCAGCCTAGTGGTAGTCTTGGCAGAGAAGAGGCTGCTTCATCAACCTTCTTCAACCTTGACCAGACAAGCAGTGAACCACAGGACTGTCTTGGCACTCAGTGTTGGGCTGGTGAAACCCAGCAATGCAGGATAGCGCCTAACATTCCTCTTCCCTAGGCTAGTGCCTGTGAATTGAAATTTTACACTTGTCCGCATATCAGGTGGTGACTTGCACTGTGGTATGATGAACTTACTGCAAGGTGCACTACTGCAAGCCTCACATGGGCCTGATAAGCATACTCCAAACTGCACAAGTCTGATAAAGGTGGGATTGGGATATAATGCATCTAATGTCACTTGTGCATCTGAGGAGCTATTATTACTATCCCTCTTCCAACCAAGGGCAGACACAAAAAACCACAGGGCTGAATCAGGATTCAGCCAAAAACCAACAAAGAAACAACAGACTTAAATTGTACTCTAGATAACATAGAACTAACAGACATCTATAGTGTCTTCCATATGACATTGTGCAATGCCCATTCTTCTCAAGAACATATGTAGAGAACATTCTTCAGTATAGAGCATGTGGTAAGTCACAAATCTCAACAAATCAAAAAAAGTAACA